ATGAGTACAACCACAATAACTGACCTATAGCGAGCGCCTGATCACATTAGCTAAATGCATGATGCATGAGAAGGGACACAAGGGGGGACAAGAGGCAAAGCTATTCCTGTAAACTCTTGTCAAATCAATTTATCCATTTTCCCGGAGACAAACAGCAGCCAAATTGATTTTGCAAAACAATTACGAGAACCCACGTGGGCCCTCTTGCTCCCCTGATTGAGCAGTTCACGTAACAAATTACAATCGGATACACTAGTGACAACGTTTTAAAATTGCATTACATTTCCATTTAGTAATAATTATTATCATATTTCCCACAGTGTGTAAATATATATACTTAATACACTACCTCTGTACTCGACCTCGGAAGTTAAGCAGGCTGTAGCCTGGATAGCTCTTGGATGAGGTGACCACTACCGTGCAGAAAAAATGTGTCGTGGGCAGTGGAGGGCAGTGCAGGAAAATCCACTGTTGTTGCTCTTCACCAACCCACCTTCACCAACCCAGGCCGACCGGCGTGGTGAAGGATGATCAAATAGACCCAGCAGCGGATTGCCAAAAAAATTGGGCGTGCATGCGCGTAAAAACGTGAATATTTTAACTGCACATCTATAACTGCTGGCAGACCCAGAGGGTTAGTTATCAATTTAGACTCGGCCTTAATGCAACAATGTAATTGTTTGCCCTTGAGAAATGTCCCTGCATTTACTCTCTCTCTCTCTCTGTGACAGTGATATCGTCCCAGGAGTAGTGCTCAACAGATGATAATTTGTGCGCACGGATGTCAGGGGTTCTGCCTCGATGGGTCTCAGTTAAACAGGGAGTGTTTTATTCATTTACTGCATGGCTGGGATATTGGATACGAGTGTTTTGTATTTGTTTGTGTGTTCTGTATATATGTTAATTTATTCTGAATATTTGTAATTACGGAGGCCCCGGTTCCATGCTAATGAAGAAGGATTTCCAAGAAAACATTTCCAGCAGTGGCCAAAGGCCACATGGGAAGAGCAGGCAGTTAAGAGGCAGGCTCAGTAGTAAATATTGATTTTGTTGGCCGAAGGTTGGAACCTGTTTACTGTTAGCCATTTGAACAACATAAACTTAAATCCTGAATCCTGACACAGGCTTCAAGGAACAACCTAAAGTAACTCACAGATGCACGATGATTCATCATCGGTCATGAGATCGTTAAGAGCACCTCTAAAAATGAATTTCACCGCCGAAAGCCCAATGTGCAATCTCAGAGGCCGATTCCAATCTGATGTATACACAACAACACATTCTGTGACCCTTTTTAAGAGTAATTGTCATTCCCGTGCAAAAAAATGCTTGTGGGCCAAGGGAGTGCTCATTTTTCACACCTACCTCTGAATAAGTGACATTCAGGGCATAGGGGCACCCTAAGCTAAGGATCATAACAAAAGAACTGGCCATTATCAACATGCAGCCTTACAGGCACCCCCAAGGTTGACAGTTGAAAGTTATTACAATGTTCTCTAAAACTTGCTTTTAAACAACTCATATTTCGTTTAATTCAATAAATAAAAGCCACAAAAGCCAATATGTCTGGCTCACCAATGGCAAAAAAAAAGTTCCATAACTGTGATAATATTTTTACATTTAAGTGTCGTTTCTATTACAAGGCTTTTAGTTGTCTGGGAGTAAGTACTTGTCATATTATACACAAATGGCATGGATCTTCTGTTCACTGCCTTTTAGCACAGGCGTATATATATCATCTCAGCTGGATAGATTACAGGTTGAAGTTTCAACTCTGGAATACACCTGACAATCAGTTGATGAATCGGTTTGTGGAAAAATGTGAAGCCCAGAGGCAATGAGACAATGGGGCCAATGCTTCCACTGAACGGAAAACCGCATCAAGAATACATTGTACGATTTCATTTTCGTACATTTAGACTTATCCTGGAGACAAATTCAACGATGTGTCAATATAACATGGACACCTTGCAGAAACCATCTCTCTTTGAATGCGTTAAATAAACATGAATGTAAACAAGCATAACCCGTAAAAACAAAGTTTTTCACTATAAATCCTTTATATGCGTGGCGGCTAGAGTCCTCTCGTCCTCTGGCTTGAGATGGCTGCCACCTATGGTCAGATGATTGTCTGCCAGTATTAAGCAATTGGTAATTAAATATTTAATTTGTTTTCCCTAAACAGTGTGAAATTTTGGAATTTTTTTTTTCCACCAACATTAATTGTCTTGCACAACGAGTCTGTGTGCAAAATGTCAGCTCGATTGGATCACGGGAAGTGGGTTAAAAAACGACCGAAAGATTTGCACGGTCGTAAGCAAGCAAGCAAGCACGCAAGCACGCAAGCAAGCAAGCGAACTTAATATAAAGGATTTTAAAAGAATGAAACATAAGACAGAAATTGTGAAAATGTGAACTTTTTCCATAAAAATTGTCACTTTTGAATTTTGGTCTAAATCATGGAATAATTTGTATCCTTAATAGGCTATTAAAACACACTAATAGTGTAGCAATGGTGGTAGATTTTTAGCAATCCCTTTCCCTGAGAGAATTGTGAATAATGACCCATTCATTCTACGTGGTCCACGAGCAACATCAAACATCCCTTAATTAAAGAATACTATGTGACCTCCATTACCACTCTGTGACCTTTCACCATAGGCGAGCCATACCAGTCAACAATGCATGAATAAGCGCCACATTAAAATTGGGCTACAGGAAAACCATAGCGAGGCAAGCATGGCAAAAAGACACAGGTGCATTAAATGCGGTCAAAGGTGAGTGCCATAGCATCAACATCACATCATCGTACAGACGCACTGTACCGAATTACACCAAAAGTAAGGTTCGCGCTTGTGAACAGCAAACAAAAGGAAAACACGGACATGTTCTCACTTTTATATAGAGCACCTGATTTATTGTGCTACAACCACAAATGACCATTGCCCAGGGATTACTGTTGTGAATTTTACATTTTATTTCAAGCATGCTTGAGGTTTTAACGACTGTGCGGTGCTTCTGGTGTTTACCTCGTATTTAAACACCTGCATATGGTGTGACAGAAGGCCAGTAATAAATTATCCCTTTGCTTACTTAACCATGCTCTGCAATCGTTACTGTTTATAACCCACACCTGCAGTTGTATTATAACAATAATAATCACAAGACCCTTTAGCCAGGAAAGCCTCTCTGAGTCTCAGAACCCTGAATTTGATGTTGGCCAATTCCATTAGCGAGTGCCTTGCACATGTGAAGGGAAACTTGCATACCAAGAGAAACCCCAAGAATCTACTGCTGTACCGCCATCTAAAGACAACCTTGCCAAGAGGCGGTCACCTTGTCTGCATGCTCTGTCAAAGTGTAATTTAGCAATACGAAGGAGACATGACAAACGGTGGGTGATAATAACACATTCTCTGTTTGCACAGCAGCGTGACATGCTTGACACTGATCCCTCATTTGAGTCATTTCTGCAATGCTTGGACGCCTATGTTTGCTCATGCAAAGCTCTGGCTGCCACGCGTAACATTTACAAATGGCCTGCCCTGCCAAATTGTCACAGCACGTGCGTTCGAACCGTGACCATTAATCCCAACCTACATTTCTCCACCACTGAGCCCAAACGGTGAGAGAATTATCTACTACGCACTGTATTGTGGTTCAATATTGAGCCTTCAATTCAGCCTCAAACATTTATCAAAAACCATTAGATTTTTTTTTGTAGTAAAAGGATACACAGAGACCTACTTTTTCACTTTTTTTCTTCTTCTCCCGTTGGATTATAATCTTAACTAACCGCATAATGCCATCTTGACATTTGGAAAATTGCATGACCTTCCCATGCATTTAAGTCACAAATGCCAGTGTGGCACAAATGGGTTGCACAGAACTCCATTCCAACGAGAATATGGGATAATTTCCATTAAACATCAATCGCTTCTGCAATAAACAACTCTTTTTAATCTGCTGGGCAATGGGACCGTATTTTATTCCTTGAAATTGCCTGGTCCTGACTTTCTCACCAAATATATTTTGTGGAGCTGCCAAATGACGCTCTCTAAAGACAACGGCATTGATCACAAGTCTGCAGGTTTTGAAGGACCCAAAGGAACACATTTAAAGTGTTATATATTTGTCTTGTTCTTCGAAATGCTGTCAGTCTGCAGTATTTCAGATGTGAGCTATCGATGGCTGCTTTTTCATCGACATTTTTTGTAATAAAATCGAATTCAAAGTTGCGCACATCTCTTTTAATTGATATTGCTGTATCGTGGTAGCCAAAGCTAATGTAAACAGAACCCCACTGTTTTTCCACATATATATTTTAGTCTTTCAGCCTATTGTCTTTCCAGACCAATATTATTGAGCAGCATTCATTTAAGCCAATAAAATCTGGACTGGTTTTCACATTTTTTGGTCTCATCAGCAGAGTCAAAATAGAATTAAAAAATTATTTCGGTAAAGTCATGTAGAAAAAAAAAATCACGACGTTTCGATATCAACACACATAATCGTCCTCAGGTGACGATTGCTTGTGTTGCGATCGAAAAGTCGTGATTTTGTATTAATTATTTTTTATTTTTCTATCTACGTGACTTTACCGAAAGACCCAAAGAATAAGAATTCCTGCAGTCACGAAAGCTTTAAGTCAAGAATTATAATATTTACTGTATTTATACTGGAGGAATCCGATCCGGTCAGAAAGCTTATAGCAGGGAGCTCAAGAAAAAGGACCATTTCTCAAAAAGTCACATAGATAGAAAAGAAAAAAAGAAAAATAATAATATAAAATTAAAATAAAATGAAAGCAAAAAACCCACGACGTTTCGATCGCAACACAAGCGGTCTTTATCCTGTGTCCTCTTTAAGGCTGTGTTATTGACGGACGTGTGTGGGGTTTTTGTTACTCCTGCCACATTAAAGGTGATTCATTCAGAAACGGTCAGGGGTCACTGTGCACAAACGCATCGTCTTGGCCATCAGTCTCCGACGGTACTCACCCTGCCTCCGACGTTTCCGCTCCTTGACCTCGTGGTACTCGGGCCTCCTGTTCCGGTTGGGGCTATAGATACCGGTGGGATCTGTACAAATTACAAACACAACAGTCGGTTTAATGTCACTGGGATTGGTTAATCACGTTGATTGCTCTCTCAGCAAAGGGCTCAATTATGTATGATTACATTTGAAGGTAGTGGCAGAGGGTACATTTAGCAATGGGAAGGTTAAACCTCCAGCTATGACGGACACTAAATATACTATCGGTCAGTTCACCAACTTTCAGTTAAATAAACTAATTAAGAGACTGAATGGCAAAAATGGTCCAGAGTTTGATTGTATTGAACCAATGCCGCTGATACGATGGAATCCTAGAAGGTCAAGTGCCTGAGTGAATGTCTAAAAAATACATTTATTTTTTAAGCCAAGAGGGAGGTCAATAACATGTATACCACTTTGTAGCAAGTCAACAGACAGGCCTCTGCAAAGAAAATGGGGAACTTCCACCACTGGTACGGCATTACTCGTTTGAAGAGAGAGACAATTCAACGTTAAGTTACATAAAGAAGATTTTGATGAAAAGTGAGTTTAAAATTTTTTGTTAAGATTTAATTTTATTTGTTACATGGATGATCCCGTTAAGCCAGTTGCCTCCCTATTTTACACGAGAAATCCGTGGTGCCGTGATCACTGCAGCAACGAAAACCAAAGACAAAAAACATCGATGTCGCAAAGAACGAGTTAAGGGGTTCTTCAGCAATATTGCATAATTCTAGATTTGAAGCTTTCGTGACTGCAATGATTCATATTCTTAGGTTTTTTCGGTAAAGTCACGTAGGTAAAACATCAAAATTAATAAAAATAAAATAAAATAAAGATCACGACGTTTCGGAGGCAACACAAGTCTCCGTCATCAGGTGGGACCGTCACAGCCAGATGTTTTACCTACGTGACTTTACCGAAAAAACCTAACAATATGAATATTGCATAACTCACAGACGGGGGAGTTTCTGCAGTCAATGTTACATGACGAGCACGAAGAATAAAGTAAGCTGACAATATTCGCCGTGTGATTTATGTGTCGCGCATTTGCGCCTCAAAGTTAACGACACGGAACTCAGTATAATATCACGGAGCCAGGACCAGCCCAGAAAAATCAAGCTTTTAGTTTTGAAGCCCCGACGAAGCACTCAACCGCTGATGGAAAAGTTTGATGCGTGTTTAATATAAATAAATGTGCCATTTCTGTAAGTGGGAATTAAACGTGGTGTTCTATGCGTTTGCTTGAGAATTTCTCTGGCAAGGCTTGGCTAGTTACAAACTGGAAAATATAACCCCCCCCATTGTGTTTTTTCTTCCCATCAATTATTCCGCTCTTTTTTATGTGCCCTTTCGATCTCCTTCTAAATACTTTCTCTCATCCTCTGTCCCATCTCGCTCTCCCTCGCTTCCGAGATCTCGCCACGGTTATGCCACGGTTATGCCACGATTAGTCTGGGAAACACCGGGTCACTTGCAAGATGTGCACCTCAGTTCTTTACATCTCTTTGTACCGGTGTTTAAAAATGTACATTTTAAAAAGGAAATCTATAACAATGCTTGTTTACTCAAGAAGCATACCCTGCTACGGGAGGTTCCGCATTTGCTTAGCGAGGCTTCACTGTCGTTATAACTCAGTCGTGGTCTCTTTTACGTTTAATATCTCTACAAAGTAACCCACTTCAACGCATCGCGCGATAGAATGCTGTCTTAACGAAAAGTGAATGTCCCAACGCACACTCCTAAAACCACTCGAGCGCCGAACAATGTGCATTTAATAGTTATTAAAATGCTTTCTGTAAGTGAACACATATCTTTTAATTGGATGACAATAGCAAAATGGAATGAAGTAGCTCAAATTAATATGTGAAACGAGCGTGTCCACCCGCACATTTGTTACGTATTTTAAATATAGATAGCGTACAATATCTGTAAAATATTTGTGGCGTATGACGTATATCATGGGTAGGAAAATAATGATTCACAATTACATACATTCAATCATTCAATTAAAGAATCTGAAATAATTAAAAGTGTCATTTTCATTGCATCATTGGCACTGTTCCTTGCTTTATTTGCCTCATTGATGAACTTTCATTATCTCAGTTACTCTAAATTTAACATGAGCAAATTATTTGCGTACGATTGCATACATTTTCATTAATCTAAACTCTCCCGGACAACTCGATGCGGGTACTGCGAGCGTAAGAATCAATTCTAGATTTGAAGTTTTCGTGACTGCAAGGATTCATATTCTAAGGTTTTCGGTAAAGTCACGTAGGTAAAAAATTAAAATTAATAAAAATCACGACGTTTCGGAGGCAACACAAGCTTCCGTCTTCAGGTGGAACCGTCACAGCACGATAGCTGTATTACAATGCAAGCAACTGCAAGCAGCTGCTTGCATTGTGGCCGAAACGTCGTGAGAATTATTTATTATTTTTATTTTTATTATTTTATTACTTCCCTTCTACGTGACTTTACCGAAAGAACCAAGAAGAAGAAAGAACGTCACGAAAAAGCATTTGCCAGATATCTTAGTGCGGCGTGTACGACGGGGTGTGTGATGAGGAAGATAGAGATGGCAACGGTAGCTCCGTATCTGCCCTGACAGATGTACATCCAGTTATTGATTTGGCAGTAAGCCACATCCTTAATTATGCACCACCGCCACTTAGGAGCCAGCCGCTTCCCTCTTGACATCAATGGAATTGAGCGCGGCGAGCATTGAAGTTAGTCAGACAGACAGAGGCTTGCCTTGTACCGCAAATGACTGCTATCAACAACCCACTGAGCTTAAAAGGTATTTTTAAATCAGAAAGGTTAACGTGTGACCAGAAAAAAAAGATCCTTTCATGTATCATGAATTAATTTGAACTGCTTTGAAAGGCCAAGATAATTAATGAGGTCCTATTCAGCACAGTCTGAACAAATAATAAGGATTAATGTTTGAACTGCTAATACACTCTCAAGAGCCAGGGTTGTGGTTATATTTTAAAAAGTTGGCTTCATCGAGCCTGTGTACACTGCTGTGCAAACTGTAGGTTATTAATGAGTCATTTGTTAATTTAATTCAAACCTAAAAATCGATTATTGTGCATATATAAATCAATCCCTTGAAATATATGCCAATCATATGCAAATACTATATCAATTTGCAAAGATATGTAAATGATAGGTTTGTAAGAATGCGTCTATTCATCTGTTTAAATCGATTAGAAATTAATCAATTTATAATTAACTCACCGCTGTTATATTCTGGCATATATCAAAGAGTTCAGGGGATAAATGCCAATGTCGAGGTCTGTTAGCTACAAGAGGTCTGTTAGCCGAGAGAGGGCTTCAGGAGAGAGCTGATGTAGTTTTGCGATTCCTCCTCCGTTTGAAGGAGCGCAGACGGAAGTGGTTTACTATCAGGTCCATAGTTTGGGTTGCATGGCCACAGTTGCACTACTGTGGCCTTGTCTCTAAGGAGATGTGCGCATCGGCCTATTGATGTTCTATTGCCGTTGATGGTCACACCATAGGTGTCCTCGAGGAATATCAGAGCCAGGAGGTGTTTATTCTGGACCTCTGCGTTGTTCCACTCTGTTCGACAGCGTTCTTCTGGATCTGAGTGAGATTCTAGGACAGTGACAGCAGCAAGTGCGATTCCAGAAGGGAAATCGGGACTTTCGTTAGTGGTGTCGATTGATGGGTACGCTGTCATTGGAAAGAAAACTTGTATACTCCCTTGCAGTTTGCAAGTCTTCGCTGATATATGGTGGCCCAATGATCACCAGGACAAGGAGCCAGGGAATTGGTGTCGGGTTCATTGTTCTGGTTGTGATGCGCATCACATTATTTATTGTGCATCTAAAAGTTCCGTGTGAGATTTCCAGGACCAGGCTGGAGCGCCGTTCTCTGCCACCGAGTAGACTGGACAGACGTCTGCTGTGCACTGGGCTACCACTGAAGGACACATCAAGGGTGGCATCTGCTGCATGATTATTCAGGTGGAAAGTGCTTGTAGTGGATTTAGAGAAATTTGGTTGGAGTGTCCAGTGACGCAAATATGCTTCCAGTTACATGAAATCAGCTCTTCGCGTAACGGTTTGTGCCCTGTACAGCAAGGACTATGTCATCTGCACATATGAACTTGCCTGATTATGTACACAGCAGGTCACATATATATGGACGTTACATTGTAACAAGTAACAAGCCTTGAGAGGCCATTGTTCACAATTTTCTTGCGGCTGTGTTCACCAGCGAAGTGTTCAACCTGAGTGTACGGTTGCTGAGGATCGTGTTGATGAGATATACAGGAGAATGGCATCTGATGATGTTGGCCATCTTCAGCAGTAGCCCATGATGCCAAACAGTCTGAGAGGCAGCTGAGAGATCAACCATTGCTGTGCCGGTTTTCTGTTGATGTTGGAAACGAGCTTCTATGGAGGGTGGTGAAGGCAATGATGTGTTCGCAGCAGCAGCTACAGGCAGTTTGAAATTCGGGAGGCAGTTGAGGATCGATCATGGGGGAAAGTCTGGGAAGCATGGAGGGATATTGGCCTGTAGCTGGAAGGTGATTATCATGGCTTTCAGGGTTTCAGAATGGCAATGACTTTGGTTTGATACAATGGTTATGGGATTTTTCCTGCCCTGTGTATGATGGTGAAGAGGTTTTGAAAGCCATTTTTTGCATGTGTTCCCAAGTTCTTTAGGAACTCAGGAGACACAGGTCATCATATCACAGTGCCTTGTTGGATGTTGTGGTCCTGAGGGCCACGTCGGCGATGGTGGACAGTCTCATTAATTATGTTGCTTGCGGTAGTTGGCTCAAGGTGATGGCGAGTTGTTTGTGGACAGCTAGTTTGGTGAGCTAATCCATCAGTTCCTTTGAGTAGGACAGCATCATTCTAACTGCATATATTACATAATGTGTAACTGTGTGGTATGCAATAAGCATGTATATGTTGGACGTGTATAGATTTTGCATGCAGATGTATTTAATCCAAATAGGAACACAAATCAATAGTAAACAATTTAGTTTGGCTCACTGTTCATTTTCTTTAACCTTTCAGATCTCACCACTCCATTTTAAGGAAACAAGAATTGCCATTAGGAATACTCATTTGCACTCCGATAGAACAATTACTTGACAAGCGCGATGGGCAATTATTGGTTCACTGCTATTAAAGGCAATGGGCCCGATTTCAATTGATGGCCATACCGATGTGAAAATGATGGAAGACAATACACTTTAACCTCACATTCACATTTGCATCCCCTTTATATTGAGAAAACTGGTTAAAATGTATTCTTTAAAACGTAACATCACAAATGCGGTAGAACATTTGTATGCACTCAGCAGCCGACAGCGGTTATTCAGATAATGTTTAGTCACTTTAAAATGTGGACACCAAGTGAGATCAAAGGCCCGATGCGCGTGTCTGCAAGGAAATTTCTTGCGATTCGATGGACAAAATCCACACGTTATCCCCAGTGCCAATTCATATCGTCCTCTATAAATATACAGTTAAGAACTCTTCATTCTCTCGTCTGCCACTTACTTGTTGCTTCCCTGCCATTTACAAGCTACCGATACCGCCCCCGGTTCTTCTCCAGGCTGAATGAATTAGAGATGTTGTTGCTTTAACCGCCACGTATTACGGGACGATTCACCGCCTGCGCAGGGGGTCACTGGTGGTGGAGACGGCTTGCGCACGTTGTGTTTTTCCACCGATCAATCTGCCCAACACGTGTTTTGCTTTTATTTGGTTTGGCGTTCATCATTTACTTATTGCTCCCTTAAGCGTTTTTCAGGTTGGACTGTGTGTCCTACTGGACACCTATAAACCTACTGGACATCTGTGAAAGATAGCTTCTTAGCTCATCGGATTCTTCCAGTCTAAATAAAGATTCTGATTTGGTGTCGTTCGTCATGATGTCCGACATTTCACATTGTGCGCTGAAAGCTTCATTAGGAACCGGAAAAGCTCTGAAACGTCGGATATCTTGGGAAATAACGTGCAGGGGAGCTGTAAAGCACAACTGCAAAAAACCTAGGACAGAGCATTTATTGTTTATTTACTATTTACTTAGTTTGAATGTCATTTGTATGCTTCGTACTGGACAGCATCTTGAGATGCTTTTGATATTTAGACACTACAGTACATACATTTGGGTGTACAGTCGTGATAGAACTGCACTACCAAGTTAGGCAACCCGAGTTTGATTCCCGCCCATGGCTATCATCAGTAGCAAGTGACATTTGAACCATTGCTTGGTCTCCCCCCGCCTATTCACCGGCCTGCATTGACGAGTGTGGTGATGCATGGCCAAACAACCCCCATGAATGTTGCCGTGTTGGGGAGCTCTTCGTCCAGCAATGGATTGACAAATGTTTGAAAAGTATTATTCTTAGAAATTGAAATGTGACGCAATTTTTTTTTTTATTCAAAACGCACTCTGCGGCATGTGCCCACTGAAAAAAGAACACAACGTGCACAAATTATATCAGGTGCTGCAGTGTGTGGATACTTACATGCCGGATCCATTTCAAGAATGATGTTCTTTGCCTGTGAAAAAAACACAACGCAGGCTTTATTGGCAAAATAAACCAGTGGAAGTGCATCAATAACATTTCAATTAGCACGTGTCTTTTTACGTCGCGTCGTAAGGAGGTGATTGTTAAGGATGTTTATTTCGTACAATTAACTTCAAAAGCTCCCACAATGTGCAAACAAAGTACCTTAAAAGGTTATCTCAGCCTACGGGTTTGTGATAACACCATTGGGATTTTCCATAATTGTAAATATATATATATATTTTTTAATCTCAGATGGAATAATAAACAACATTTTTTAAAAGACGTGAATTTTAAACGTAAAAGAGCTTCTCACCATGAATTGGCTGTCGGCCTAAATCCAAAATGCCTTTTGGGGCTTAAATTATTCATCGATTAAACAGAACACGGGGTACTCATTCCACTTTATTTATAGCACAGGTCTGTTCATGTTTAATGTTTTGAATAGATAATCCCTTTTCTCCATAACATCAGAGAATAATAATACGTGGCAGCAATATTGGCTGCTATAAAGGTAAGTGGTTCGTTAAGACCGTGACTGCTGCAACAAGTTCAAATCGAGCTGTGCTAGGCCTCTGGTACAGCACTTTTGAGACAAGGAATGGTGATCTGCGAGTGGGTTGTAAGCTTGCGTTTGACCTTTTAGTGATTACCCCTCATATGCGTGAGTTTTTCTCCGGTTACTTTGAATACTAATCTCGCACGTGCAAAATTAACTTTTTTTATTTTGTGAAAAAAAAAAATCCCCGCCAATTTTATCCCAGTTCCACGAGTGATGTCATTATGCCTTCTGGCAGTGTCCATTCAGAACTCGTACAGGAAAGTCGATTACCCACATGCAAGAGAATGGCCTGTGGAAGGTGATATCACAGATCTACTTCTGAAAGCCCCTCAAAGTGATAGTCTTTACCCATACAGAACTTAAATGAAAATATTTTTGTGAAACTGATATTTTAAAAAATCTATTCGTTGCAATCTTGTCAAAGTACAGTAATAAAAAAAAACTAGATTTTGTGATGTCATTGGTGACTGGAATGAGACCATAAACTCACAACTATGGGTGGCTGTAAGCCAGATTAACATTCAGTATCTCAGCACTGCTGGTTCAGTGCTCCAACCTCTGAGCCACCTTTCCACTTCATGCAAAACACTCCTTAAAATACATTTGCCAAGGTTTCCAATGTGGGATGAATGAAAAAAATCCCATATAATCAAATCACAAAATTCTTAATGAATCCCAGTGAGGACCAACTCAGCCATCATCCTTCCAGATGACTGCCAACGGTACGGAAGCCAAACAAGTTCCCTTATGAATAAACTAGCCCCCACCAGAGAACATTTCTATATTTGGCTCGTAACTGCCCAAAGGTCATGGGGACAATAATATTTGTTCGAGTAGCAGGCAGCAAGTTGACAGACAGCCGGCTGCACTCACCTTGTCCGGCACAGTGGATGGATGGTTTTCGAGAATGAGCCTCTTGATGTGGTGTATCCACTGACTCTTTTCCTCTTGAGTCTTCGCCTGTCAAGCGAAAGGGGCACACCGTGATATGATACTGAAGGGCACCATCTACTGGCAGGATCTACAGACCGTGGCACAAACCCCCAACTGGATAGAATGTCCATAATAGAGGCTTTTGGGTTAGATTGCGTAAACATAAATGTGTCGTTAAACCTGCCACCACCCGACACAGCCAATTAGTAGGGTTTGTTACGTAAACAACTAGAATTGTAAACGCTGTGGGTTTACTCTCCAACACACCGGGGTGCTGAACTAGCAACGAAGTGGCATGTTTTGTTTCCGTGACAAACCTTACTAATTGGCTGTCGGGTGGTGGCGGGTTTAACGACGTGCTTATATTTATGCGAACTAACCCACAAAACCTTTATTTTGGATAATATTGGTCGCGAAAGCCTATGTGTGAAACTAGATAGAATGCCACCGCATAGATGTGTTCAGTCGTACTGCACAGCGAGTCTACTTTAGAGTGGAACTTTTAGAGAAAACAGAAGGGGCGGTTAAAATGCAATAGGTGGTGGTTGGTGTATCACACAAACATTATCTGATTAAGGGCCACTGGCCAAGATATCCGACAACCCAGTAAGTATATATGCAGTGTTATTTATGAATGTTGAAAATTATATTCTTTATTTGTCACATGAATGAGGACCCCATCTGCATGGTTACAAGTTGACATATAAGGCAGTACAGCAAGTAGATGTTTGCCTATCTATATAATATGTGTATTCGAGTTTCTTCCCAGACAAAAAGTACTAAAATAAGAAATATGTCAAACATCTGAAAATCCCAGCAATACACAGGACGTGATCATTATTATTATTAGAAACTGACCTGAAACGTGTACCGTGGCTTTTCATTTTTGTAATGCCACACACAGAACTCAAGCTCCCTGGGTTGTTCCAAAATCATGAGGTTTCGGCACTGAAATGATATGAATTGAGAATGTTAATACAATGCATTTAACTTCAATGAGTTGTATTTATTACACAGTGAAATATGCAACTGCATGATTTTAGGCAAATACCATGATAGATTTATTACAAACACAGGTTCACACCTTAAAAACCACTGGTGTATAAATATATATTCTTTACCTAATCAACGGTGGAATGTTCCTTTACAAAAGAATGAATTAACAGAACTATGTTATAATATAAGCTCGCCATAACAAGTGATTTTAGAAAAATATATAAGCACAGAATTTTAATATTAATTCCGAAAAAACAATATTAAGGCTGATATTATTGACACAATATTAATTAATAATAGATATTCGAATGCATGCATATAAACACATTCATGCATATATAATATGCGTAAATAATGTATGTTGAACTTTTTTCGCACCGTAGGTAGTCAACCGTGCTAATTGGTGGTGCGATAATTGAGTACATCACCATGAAATGGGAGGGGAAATACATCTTGGTGTTTTAAATTTGTTTTAAATGTAGCGGTCCTTGTCATTCGAACTGCCCGTCGTCGCGCTTCTTGGTGATAAAGAGTGGGTATTCACATCTCTTCCAAGACGTCTAGCCAGCATGTAGGCCACATTTCCCCTAGAGGGAGCTCTATAGAGCATTATAGAGCTCCCTCTCGTTGAGTGTTCTTCACTAATTTTCAGTGAGGCCACTTTCCCCGATAAGACATCACCAGTGTGAGGGCCGCCACACATTTGAAACCATTGGGGGGTTTGACAGCAGCACGATGATGATGATGATGGGGTGGTGTTTTAATCTTCTCGCGCAGTCCAACCTTGATCTCGGTCTTGAACACGAACTGCCCGTCGTCGCGCTTCTTGGCGATGAGCAGGGAGCTGTCGAAGAGGAAGAGGGCTCGCTCCTTGCGCGTCCGGTGCAAGCGGAAAGACCCCTCCAGCGCCAGATCCCCCAACATGCTCAGGTCCTGCTTGAGGTTGATGAGCAATCCACGCAACTCCTGCACACGAAACACCACAAAGACAAAGGTCCTCTGTGTAGCCTTTGGAGCAAGGGCTGTTTAAAGGCGATGAGCATCTGTTAAGGCTGTCACCGGCATATGGGAGCGCAGTGTGACCGTTCCTGTCCATCGTTGTCTTCTGCCCAGTGCTGATGTTTGTTTAATGCCCATTCACATATCCACTTAAGGCACTCGTTTGTTTTGTTTCCCGAGTTAATCAGGTGACTGGGCTTTCCGGACAAATGTTTCATAAATATTACAATCAGTCCAGGCAATCATGAAACATTTATCTGAAAGGCCCATTGGCTTGACTGACAAGATGTTTGTATTTACATATGCAGTGATGCAGAGAAACCCACTTGCATCTGCCATTTCATCTGTTTGCTGTACTGCGCCACAATGGAGCATAATGAGGTTGTCTGCTGCATTTAACGATGTGTTAATAGAATTGGTTTAGAGGACAATGTTCAACAATTCCAGTTGACTCTGCGTACGTTTTTCAAAAACGTGTGCACATTAACCCAGCCTGTAAAGCAATTACATCAGTGTCTGTTTACATTCACGTGTACCACCATCTTGTCAATCCACTGCTGGATGAAGGCCTCCCCACACCTCGTGGTTCACAGGGGTTTTTTGACAAAAATCACCACGCTGGTCAGTGCTGGGTTGATGAAGGTGGGCAGTGTAGAATTTTGGAGGGCATATAATACAGCACAACAGTGGATTCATTCCAAAAATCCAAAAAGTGGGCAAAGATACAATATTTTGGCCCATCTTAATTTTTTCATCTTTGTTTCAGATCGGTCCGAAAAAATCTATATCACGACCATGACGTCATCCCTGCACTTCTTTATGGATGCATGTTCAACCATTGTGACTATAGCAAATAAACCCGAACGCCTAAACACAAATCTGTCATTGTCTATGTTAAATACCAAATGAGCTCGATTATTTTTGTTTATATACATCTGAAACTCATCCCTAATGCATACTGCGATGTGCATCCACAAGCCCTCACGGGCATACTCGTAATAAAACAGCGCGTGCGCGCGTGTGCGTGTGTGCACCTGGATCCTGATAGCGTGCTCGTGCTTGCGTTTCATCTCATTGATGTGCCAGGCGACGCCGTGCATTGCCGACAGGGCATCCTGCACCACCTCGTAGCCGTCCGTGCTCTTGTCCAGCCGCTTCTCGATTTCCTGCAACGGGGGAGCCACGGTCGCATCACCGGTGAGGATTCACGGTTATGGGACTGAGGGGTGGCGGCGGGATGTTATCTTCATATTCTTAAGTTTTTTCGGTAAAGTCACTTAGGTAAAAAATGAAAATTAATAAAAGTAAAATAAAAATAAAATAAAAATCACGACGTTTCGGAGGCAACACAAGCTTCCATCTTCAGGTGGAACAGTCACAGCACGATAGCTGTATCAAGTGAGATGTTATCTCCCTCGCCTGGTATGCAGGAGGTCGCGGGTTCGACCCCAACCCTGGCGCCGGTTGTATATTTGGAGTTTGCGTGTCTCTCGCTCTCTCCCTGTGGTCGTGTGGATTTTTCTCCGGGTCCTCTGGTTTTTCCCTCCACATTTAGAATGAACATTCATTTAGAGTATTTGGCTGCTACTATAAATTCCCACGTGATAAGCCACTTCGTTGAGCTACCATTTGTGGCCTGGTCGCTTCTGAAAAAGAGCTACATGGCTCAGTGGGCCTTACCTGGTAAAATAAAACAAATAGCTTCGTTTAGAGTGTCAGAGCTCACGACGGGAGTAGCGCGACTTGCAGCACACACGCCCACTCCACTTCGTCTCCCCAGGGAGGCCAAGGGTTGGTTCACATATATTACACAGCCACTGATGTTAGCCGTGCCTGGTAATCGAACCCAGGTTGTCGGGTTCAAGGCGCAGTGCGCCAACCGCTGGCGCCACCGATTTCAGGTACCAAACGAGGCATGCACGTGCAGACACATGTAGCCCGCTCAGCCCGGGTGCCTGGCAGACTCTGTGGGTCTTTCGGCAGCACCAGTGTATTGGACTTTTACTACCGATTCATTCCGTAGCAATCAAGGTGGGTGGGAGGGGGAGACTGGAGGGGGCCGTACCTTTCTGTTCCCGGAGGGCAGAAGAAATGACCCAACTTACTCCACCCTCTCCGGGGCAGCACAAATAACGAGGTGTGTTTTATTAATTTAATGATTTCTGGCTGTTGGTAGAGCCACCTGAATTCATTGACCACACCTACAATGTGAGCACCTTGAACAAGTGCAAGACGACTAATTTCAGCTCATCAGGGTGCAACGAAATTACTTCAAAGAATGCTTTCAGCCAAATCTCCACGCGTGCAGCACTCTCCTACAACACCTTTGCTCATTTGCAGCAAACGCTGTCTCATCTACTTCTGCTAAGGGTCACTCGAATCTCGGGCTGGCCTCTTGATGTCGGCACCAAAAGACACGTGGAGGAAAACAAATTTTGCTCGTGTGCCACACGAGGCAACGACCCAAGGACCATAAAACATGATTTTAATGCTTTACACCCAGTGACCTGTGAGAGGAGGGAAGGAACAGCGCAACGAGCGGGCTCTCTATGCTGTAAATACACACTCGAGACATAAAAAAAGAAAACAGATTGCGTTATAACTATTGACTGCGGAGTCACTGACGCACAAGTGAGCAGCCCGCATGAAAAGGTTACACAGTAACGCAATGATATAGACACAGTCCCTCATGGCCTTGCTCTTAAGCACCTCTTTGAACCCATTTCCCCCTCTTCTTACGTCCTCTCCCTCTGCCCCGGCAAACGCCATCTACTCCATCAACCTCTCATCGCCCTCCGCATGACGAGTCAAGCGTTTGCTGCGGTATCCCGGCACGGGCTTTGTTAACTTGGCTCAGCCATCCAGCAGTCGTTTACTACGGCGTCGGTGCAAATGTGCTGGCGGTGGCCCGGGAGGCTCGGAGATTCAGGGCGCTGAGCTGGCACCGCTGAGACCCCCTGGGTTTGAGAATCCTGGCGGCTGCCTGTGATTAAACCGGGTCCTCAAGTATAGTGAGTCGATGGTCTCACCACAACAAAACAGATCCGTCACATTAAATTTGGTGCTGCCCGTCCTTTGGCTAAATTCCAGCTCTGCATAAAAAAAATGGAAAAATATGGGTTTGACTGTCACGCAACAAACCTCACTCTCCTCTAATATGCAGCACGAGTGGGACAGTGCAGACCAGAGGTGACTTTAAAGGGATCTCAGAGGTTGCTCTGTGGTGTCCGCTTCTGCGTGTTGTTCTCCGCCAAGTGTTGCACTGCTCTACGAGATGTCTGAAAGGATGCTTCGTCTCGTGATACGATGCCGAGAGGACAATCAGGATACAGTTTGGGGGTAAATTACAAAAATATAGAAGCAAATGTTAAAATATCCCCCCCCCCCTCCTTCTCCCCTCCTTCTCATCTCCTCCCTCACGAACCCCTTTCTCCCCCCTCCTCCAATGTTTCCCCATTCCCTTTAAAATAAAGAAATCATCCTCAATGACCTAATTATGCTAATGCCCTGCTCTATGTACATCATATTGATTATTTACATATGCAAATGAAATGTATATAGTTTAACACGTAGGCTTTGGCGACCAATATTATTCATAATCAACGTTTTTGGGTTAGATCGCGTTACTTATAAATGTGTCGTAACCCTCCACCACCCGACACGGCCAATCAGTAAAAAAAGTGTCACGTTGACAAAACACAAATAGTTCACTGCTTTAGCCCACCGGTGTGTTGAAGCGTGAAACCACAACATTTTCAATTTTTGGGTACGACGTTTCGCTGGTAATTGCATCCAGCATCATCGGGCAATTCGCCAGAATGGTGAGGCTCTGCTCTTGCTCCTGGTCTTAAATAGAGCAGCAGCAGCAGGGTGATGTCATCATTTAACTCATCAGGTGCAACGATTTGAGGCGGGGGGGGGGGGGGTTATTGTAAATGATATACTAGATTAGTAATCAGGAAATTGTCACAATGCGAGTTGTATGTATGTTTAAAAAAACTACCCATTCTCAATCCACTGCCAGATGGATCTCTGCCCAAGGTGTACTAGTCACAGGGATGTTTTACAATACTTCACCACGTTGGTGGGTGCTGGACCAGTTCAGATAACATTTTCTCACCACCAAATGTCATCCTCGGCCAGGAATCGAACTCAAGTTGACCGGGTTCAGAGCACATCGTGCTAACCCTCTGCACCCATCACTCCCCACCGATGATTATTTCATTTATCCAGGAAAGCCTCTCCAAGCGCCAAGATTTCCAGGAGGGTCCTTCAGTGACATTCTCACGCGTAATCCCTCCTCGCTACATACCACATAGCATTATGACCATGCCACGCATAATCTCAGCTCTCTACAGACGCGCAAACAACCACATTTATAACCCTCACGTACATTCTCCCTGCTGGATATAATAACCTTAACGACCGTGCTATGTATAATCCCTCCTCTGTATACATTTCTCATGTTACCCTACTGTACATTTTATTTCCAGACCAATCCACTTTCCATCCCCACCATGTATTTTTTTCCGTTAAAAGGCAGAGTCTATGACAGATGTGGTAATTTTTGATTTGTGCCTGAGAAGCACTGCCAAAAAAGATTTTAAAAAATTTACTCAAATTTGATGTCTGCTTTCTTCTTTACTATGGGGACCTCATTTGCCAGTAAAAATATGATAATTGGTTCTTTACCCTTCTATCTGGCAACAAAACTGACACCTTTTTGCAAGGAGTCATGTTTTGCATAGACCGCAATACCTGCAGTCATAATACAAACAAATAATACAAACAAAAGAACAAACAAAAGAACATAACTCTGATAATGTGCACTGTCCTTGCTTTCTTCTTGTACAGAAAGGGCATTCGGACGGGGAGAAATCGTGATCCCACTCTTCTTAAACTTCTGGCAATATTCACAATTACCTTATTCATAATAACTGTGAACTGAACTACATGTAAGCATCAACATACACTCAATAAACCCCTTTTTAAATCACCAGGATTGTATCTGTCATGCACGAGACTTTAACCAAAGAGGCTTAGAGTCTCAAAGTATATATAAACAAACAAATGTGAGTTTAAATTAAACATGCCAGAAATTAAGTCATAAAAAAGCACCAATATGCTTTGGGATGCTACCGTGGTGTAACGGTGAGCAAACTGGACTTGCAATCCAGAAGCCACCAGTTCAATCTCCCCGGGACGGCAGCCTTAGAGACAATGGTACGAGTTTTTTTAAACTCCCTTCCGCTGTCCACCGACCAGTAGATTGGCCACATCATAGACGCATGTGGTGGGGTAAAGCGTGGGTATTCGCATCTCTTCCAAGACGTCTAGCCAGCATGTAGAAGTAAGGCCACATATCCCCTAGAGGGAGCTCTATAGAGCATTATAGAGCTCCCTCTCGTTCAGTGTTCTTCACTAATTTTCAGTGAGGCCACTTTCCCTGATAAGGCATCAGTGTGAGGACCGCCACACATTTGAAACCATTGGGGGGTTTGACAGCAGCACGATGACGACGATGATGATGATGGGGTGGTGTTTTCACTCTGTGTATTTCCAGGGGTCTCACGTCAGGGGCCTTGCAATGAAGAACACTGCTCTATAAGAGGTTTTTTTTGGTTAGATCGTGTAAATATATAAATGTGTCATTAAACCCGCCACCACCCGACACAGCCAACTAGTAAGGTTTGTCACGTAAACAGAACGTGGCCAATTCGTTACTAGTACAGTACACCGGTGTGTTGGAGAGCCAAGCCGCAACATTTACAATCTGAGTACGACGTTTCGCCAGTACATTACAACTTGCTTCATCAGGCGACAGCCAGATTGGTGGCGGGTTTTAACGACACATTTATATATTTACACGATCTAACCCAAAAAAACCTCTATTATGGATGATATTGGTCGCGAAAGCCTACGTGTTAAACACTGCTCCAGTTGAACGCTCTTATGCTAGCACTGGCATGAACAAAAGCTGCACCTTTCCTTTAAAAAAACATTCTTTAAACCTTTTAAATAACTCCAGGTAAAGAGCCCACACTGTCACGGATGGGAAGTCGCATCCATAACACTGCGGAATGTCTCAGATGCAGCTGCATTGCGACGCTTTATAAACACAACTGCAACCGTTATTATATCGCGTGCACTGAACGCACACAACACACACGCATCTTGAGAGCAGTCACCGTAGTGTGAAGGGCCCCTGGACTCACTGACCTGCAGCAGCAAGTGGTACTTGAGTATTCTCTGCACAGGCTTGAGCAGGAACGAGCCAAGCGGGAGGTTGTGCTTCAGGGCCGCTTGGTGGTCGCGGAAGAATTTGGCTGTGCTCTTTGTCCGCATGCACTTGGTCAGGAGCTCCATGGAGCTGCATGCGCACATCCCGCGGGCGGAGCGGGGGGGGGGGCACCGACGCAGAGGTGAGGGACGTTGGGCCAGGCGCTGGAACGGCAACTCAACGTGGGCACTTCAGCGCAGCACGAATTTGTTGACTACACGTTCTATATGGGACCAATTGAACGGATGACACCCGCCGGCGAGAGAAGTTTGCAAACAAATGTAAAAAATCCTCAATGTGGTAATGGTTGCCATATGTCGAGGTGATCTGTCATCGCCTAGTTCTTCGGAGTGATGTGCTGCCCAAATGAGCATTGAGGTGGTGGAAATTACACATTCCTACGGCTGGGGTGTGTCTATCGATTGGACCACAGCTGTGGACTTCCCACAATCCCGGCTGACTTGTGTTTTGTGGCCTTAGTTAATCTAGGAGAGAAGTGGGGGGAGGGGGGGTACCAGCAGTATTGATTGACGGACCTCCATATGAGTACGAGTAGAACAGACCACCCCCATCACAAGAATATGAAATTTCAGCCGCTATTTCAAACTGTAAACAGATTGTAAATATTGTGGATTTGCTCTCCAACACACCGGTGTGTGACAAACCTTGCTGATTGGCTATGTCGGGTGGTGGCGGGTTTACAAACACGTTTATATTTAAGCATTCTACCAAAAAAAAAACTGTATTATGGCTGTAAACAGAAGATGAGTGTAAGCATTTCTGGAAACCCTTTGACTCGACACGTCGGGAGCAGCTTCAGTGAGTCTGACGGGATGATGCTTCAGGATGGTCCTGTGTGTTGGGACACTTCACCGCTTGTGTTTACGTATGATTTGAGCATACTTCTCCAAAAAGGGTCGGTCAGTGCAGAGCGGTGAAGTCCAGGACTGTGTCAGATACTGGGAATTAAACTTAGGTTGCCAAACTTATAGCACTGTACACTAAGCAATGCACCACTGCTCTCACCAGATCATTGTCAGGCAAATATGGCATTGGCTCTTTGTTGAGAACTCTGCGCAAGAAAAATATTTTTCATATTCTCAATGCACCACAGAACACATCGGTGGCATGCGTCAAGGGCTACGAATGAATGAAAAACCAAGGCTTACAGACTGAGACAATATTTCCCTCCACTGACACATGTAAATATCAGTATATAACCCTCATCGACTGCTGTAGCTGAGCATTCTGTGTGATAAATAATACAAACATAATCAAGAAAATGAATTCCGTGTGCCAGCGTGGAAATGTTTTATCTATCGACCTTTTTGGGCCTTCTAAACTTAGAGTAACCTGCAGCATGTGTTCAAGCATGCAAACTGTGGCCCGGTTTCGCTATCCTTAGGTGCGTTAGCAGAGTCAGGCGCAATAAATTCTGCAGGGTTTAACAAACGTTATCTTCGAGTTTGCAAGTACTATCTCGTGTGCAATGTTCTGCATGGACACTCTTATAAACTTCCACAGTGTGGCAGCATTGCACAGACTTCTCAATCAGCACTCGCAACAGCGCGTGGTTTTGTGATAGTAATCAAGGTGTATTGATTTTATCGCTGGGATAGATCTGTTTTTTTTTCTTTCACATTAATACCTGGGGAAGTTTGTGCAGTACTGTGTATATATCTCAAATCCTCCGCTCTGCAAAACAAAAAAAACATCACCACAATGTAAAGCAACTCCACAGCATGAAATATGAAATTGGAAGCATTTGATTTGAATTAATCTGTTATTACAATGTATTGTCTTAGCGTAAAATGATTGCCACCAAAGATAAGTGGAATATCCACGAAAGATTCACGACCTATTTGGACTATCTTAAATTTCGATTTAAAGCTTTCGTGACTGCAGGGATTCATCTTCTTGGTTCTTTCGGTAAAGTCACGCCTGGGGCTTGTCATTCAGACTCTGTCTCCTCGACAGACCTGTTCTCCACCTGAGGACGGCTGCTTGCGTTGCGGCCGAAACGTCGTGAGAATTATTTTATTATTTTATTATTTCCATTCTACGTGACTTTACCGAAAGAACCAAGAAGATGGACTGTCTTAATTTATAATTTACGATCGTGTTTCTATTGTAATTAACTTCACGTTGATTCAAGAGGAAGCCACATCAGATTCAGAATGTGTATTTATCCTGGGAGAAACAGGGTCGGGTTAGCAAGTTACATCAATAAAGAAATACAAGAATGGATACAAGAGTAAGATAGAGAAAAGTTAAGCAAGTCAATAATGAATAAATATATAGCATGAAAGTACAAATTGCCCTTGTGCATTCATTATTGCAGATTTGTTAAGACCAAATGCAAGCTTGGGCAAGGCAGCAAACCCACAGCAATCCAACACCACACCAAGACAATACAGTCTCTCGATTACAACGCCCTCCCTAACTGCACTTTCGATACCAGGGGTAAGCAAGGTTCATAGTTTCAAATCGCATGGCAGGAAAGAGACTCGTGCAGAGCAGACAACATGGCAGACACAATCAGACTCGCCACCAGGTTTAAAACGGAGTGGTGTCTGAACCTGCCTTTTCGACAAAGCATTCCGCGATGGCGACGGGATCACTGCCACAATCCTCCAACTCTCCCAGCAGCTCACTGCAACCGACACACACGCACACACACACGCACATAATCAGCATATTTACAGAGATTGTAGCACGCTAAGTTTACGCTTTGTTTGTGCTTCGCTTTGCCTCTGCCTGTGGTGGTGGTGGCAGTCATCACACGGCCACACCAACTATGATCTCCATGAGAGGTTTGTGGCAGCTAGCCAATTGTGTTGCTCTGATGGTGGCTTCCAGAAACCAACAATATGGAGGCAAGTGACATCATCAGCAAAAGCAAAAATAAACTTGAAAAAAATAATAGGATTTTACCCTCTCTGGCACTAAACAGGTGTTTGCTTACATGTGCACACCCAAATTGCTTGCCATAAATCAACCACAACACCTTGCTGATGTCGTTGAGGTGCATAAACCATCCCGCAAACTCCGGTCATCCTCGCAGCAGTTTTTGACTTATCATCCAACACAGACGGTCACTGCATCGCGCGCTTCTGCTGCTGTCTGGAATGCTCTTCCTTCCGATATGTTTACTACCAGCGACGAAATGTTAACTACCTCGTCTGGTATACAGGAAGTCGTTCAAACTTAATTTGGAGCTTTCGTGACTGCAGGAATTACTCTTTGGTTCTTTCGGTAAAGTCACGTATAAAGATAAAATAATAAATTAAATGTTGTATTACATTACATTTGGAAGTCGTCTGTTAGATTCCGACCCTAGTGCATGTATATTTCGAGTTTGAATGTTCTCCCCATGGTTGCGTGGATTTTTCTCCAGGTCCTTGGGTTTTCCCTTCACATTTAGAAACATGAGTTTTAAGTATTTGACTGCAATACACTTTCACGCGATGAGCCACTTTGTTGAGCTATAATTTGTGTCCGGGTCGCTTCTAAAAAAAGAGCTATATAGCTCAGTGGGCCTTACCTGGTAAAATAAAAAAATAGTTTAGAATAGTTTAGATATTATGAAGCCACTGGAGCCATGCACTTTAACATCTAGATTAAAAACTAATTTCTTCAGAACTGCTTTTTGTGTCGAGTTTGTTGTCCTTCCCCCGCACCTCCAATTAGCACAGTTCGCTGCTAACAGTGCGAAAGAAGTTCAACATACAAACGTATCCACAATGCTCCACGAGATTGTATACTTCACAAGCGAGTGTGGTGGTTGCTGAGTAGGTGTGTGGAAGTGGGGTCTGCTCATGTCAGATCAACCAGACATTATACCTAAGCAAGGTAGGGCAAGCGTTTGCCAGTAGGGACTCAAATGCACCCTCCTTCAAACAAAATCCTACATCGAGTGTGACAAATCACACTTGGCAATCCAATGGGTTTTTGGGATAAAAAAAAATATTTATATGCCAGCACCCAATAAGAAACAGCTTTAAAAGTGGAACGTCTCTTTGTTAATTATCACGGTAAGCTACATACAGTGCGAAAGAAGTTCAACATGCAAACATATATTAGAGCACATGGCCAGGGTGTACGGGGGTTCTCTGTACCAACTCTGAATGAAGCCACTGTTTTAAAATCTCCGATCTGTGACCGGTAAGCAATGAACAATGAGTCCCCCAGAGCTTCACGTAGATTCAGACTCAACTCGACTGACAGAAGCCTACTTCTCCTGACCACCAGGTGCATTCTGGAGGAGTAAACCAGTGCGATATAGAAAGATCGAGATAAATCTACACTGCCTGTAGTTTGTGAAGAAAGTGAGGCCTTGTCGTGTGCGGTGAAGCCTATTCCTTGCAGTCAGAATCAGAATGTGTTTTTTTATATACTGGAGGAATCCGATGAGCTATAAAGCTCTTTTTAACAGATGTCCAGTCGGGGTAGGTCAGTTGCGTGTCCAATCCAACACCGAGTCAATCAAAGCCACAGGACCCAATCACTGTTCAGCTATACAATAACGTGAATGACATAACTTGCGCGTCTAAACGAGCGTAGAAGGAATTACACCATTGCTATAAGCGTATTCATGGCTCTCAACAAAGATCATGGGTTGATTTATGGACTGAATTGGTATGTCAAGACATGTCTCACATGTGTGATAATGTTCTCATTTGAAATATTAATATAAAACATAAGAGGTAAGTAATAATGCCATGCACGCACGTACCTGTTAAACTTGTATATCTCCTTGATGTTTCCAAACAGGGTGTTGACGTCATCATTTGGGAGCTTTTGGCTGATGGCTGTCAGGTAGTCCTGTTCAATTAAATTGAAAAGCACAGTCAATTATGCTTTGGTATCGCGTGGCCTGCAACAACCGAGTTGTAATTAACAATCGACCAGATACAATTTTTTTACATTTACACGAATTAAGATTTTGTTTTAGAGAAAAGAAACAATTGGCTTTGCTGTAATTTTTTTCTCTCATTCATAGACGAAATTCTTAAATGTGAACGTCATAATACAATTACGGCATACAGTGCATCGTAGTCTCGTTTTATATTAGCAATTCTAAACAATCGCAACAGATCGTAGTGCCTAGGAATTGCAAAAAAGCTGCGAGTACGACCAATAACTGCATTCAGGCGCACATATCAAGGTGCGTGTACATACACCCTCTCTGCCAGTCCACTGCTGGATGACGGCCTACCCATACTCTGAGTCATGGGGCTGTATGACCATTACTCCTCATGCTGGCCAGCCCGAGTTGGTGACAGCGGGAAGTGCAAGCAAGGGAACATCGCACAGCACAACCAAGGATTGTATTGAAATGTGATCTTTTGTCGACAACGAGGACCCGAAGCAGTCGATAACACCGTGTTTTTGCATTGTCGTCACCCATCCATAAACACAAACCAGGTTCATCTTCCTCACTTGAGACTGCACCCATTATGGGTGATTTGGTCAAAGGCATTCTTCATAATACACAACTTAGAATGAAATAAAAATAGGTCCAAATTTCAAAAGTTGTGTATTCTGGCAGATCAACTGTACTTTTTAAGCCGAGGGCCCGGCTATTTTTGTCTTTAAAAAAAACATTCTTAAAAATGTTTTATAATAGCAAGCTCTGAAATAAAACCGGACAAGCAAGATACACGTAATGAAGAATGTCCGGGTCAGGTCACACTGTGAAGGCACACCCTGCTGTACAGCGGTTGACACTGAAATCATACCTTCGTGTCTCTGCACGTACATTAGGTTCTTTTCTTATCAGAAGAAATGACGATAATGTTTGTGTCACAGAGACCGGTAACATTTCAAAAGCATACATTACGTATTTGTAAATCTTTGTGCAGGAATAAAACGTATCACATATTGCAGGCAATGCAGAGCATGCTTGAAACTAAAGACTGCACGTGTAGCCTAGATGATTAATGAAAAGAAAATTGTTTTGCACATTCATTTATGTAGTAAAAGTTGACTCATGTCTTTTTGAAAATTCTAATAAAAATGTACTCTCAAAGTAGATTTAACAATGACTGTCCTGGACCGATTCATTTTTTCACCATTCATTCATTATCAGCAGTCATGGTCTGTGGTCATTTCGCGCAGTCCTGCAATGTAACAATCCATCTAGCTCCCCCAGACGAGCTGATTTCGTCAGCCTTGACCACCGGTGATCATCCCTTCCAGCGACGGTGTCCTGCCCAAAATCCACTCATCTTAAAAGTCAATATCATGTCTTCAAAATTGTCCATATTCTCTAATGAATCCATGTGTCTCTCCATGCTTCTTGCGCACTTTTCAACTTCCGTGTCACGTCTGTATTTGTCATTAATATTACCACTTTCATTCACAAAACATTGATAAGTAAATGTTACCACTAATATCATTTACAGAAACCTGTTGTTCAGCTTTATTGTTTCCTATCATATCTGACAGTAACACATTTTAATAATTTTTTTAACTTGAATCCAATTAAGGAAAATGATGAAAACCTTTTCTCCGTTAATAACGTGTTGGGTGGAGTGGTGGTTGCAGTGGTTAACATGATGTGCTATGAATCCAGCAATCCAAGTTTGCTTCCCAGCCACAGCGAACATCAGTGGCAAGTGATATCAGAACCTGTCCTGTTCCCCAACCCCCCTCGCTAACCCACGCTGGCCAGCAATGGTGAAGTATGTATTAAAAATAAACACATGACTGGCATGGCGTGAGCAGGCCTTCATCTACTGGTGGGTTGAAAATCGCTGGATTGAAAAAAAATGTGCATTTAAATCTGTGAAATTCACCTCCCCCAGAGATCTGTGCATTTAGCCCCGTGAAATTCTTTTTCAGACTGAAGCATACTTCACATAGCTGTGTAAAAAAAAACCCTCTTGGACAAAGCTAATGCAAGAAGTTGCTATAAGCATGCGGGTCACATAGTACTGTATTGACTGGGGGAAGCCAGGGTACCCTTGGACGTTCACTGTGCAAGATGAAACACTGCTCCATTGTTTTAGCTCGATTTCACCTCCAGGGAAGACAAAGGATGTAACGATCATCACCCCAAGCCCGATATAGAATGTACTGAGTCGTGACCCTTCATCACACTCACGAACACACGGACTTAACACAGAGGACTACCAAAAATAATACAGTATCTTTAAATATCATTCGTAATAAACTTCTGGACTTTTGGTCCTTTTGACAAATAAAACTCTTATTTAAAAATATTGTATTTTGGATCATGGGATTGTATAGTGTTGGTTTATTTGAGATACAGTACTATGTTTAAGTTAGAAAAAAAACACTCAGTAAATCCTAAAAAAACGAAAAATAACGTATACAAACACGAGTAGATTATTTTTGGTGAATTTAAACATAAGCGTTAAGCAGTTGCACGGCCATCAAGTGTGCAGGCCCATTGGCCTGAGTGGAGCTTGAGTGGGGCTTGATAAGGGCCCAGGTGCCTAAGGGGGGCCTAGGCGCCTGAGGGGGGCCTGAGGGAAGGCCCAGGTGCCTGAGGGGGGCCTGAGGAAAGGCCCAGGTGCCTGAGGGGGGCCTGAGGGAAGGCCCAGGTGCCTGAGGGGGGCCTGAGGGAAGGCCCAGGTGCCTGAGGGGGGCCTGAGGGAAGGCCCAGGTGCTTGAGGGGGGCCTGAGGGAAGGCCCAGGCGCCTGAGGGGGGCCTGAGGGAAGGCCCAGGTGCCTGAGGGGGGCCTGAGGGGGGCCTGAGGGAAGGCCCAGGTGCCTGAGGGGGGCCTGAGGGAAGTCCCAGGTGCCTGAGGGGGGCCTGAGGGGGGCCTGAGGGAAGGCCCAGGTGCTTGAGGGGGCCCAAGTGGCTGAGGGGGGCCCAGGTGCTGGGCTATGACGAGGGGGGAGGGGAAGGCAGAAAGAGGCTGCCTCATGACATTCCATTCTTCATGGCCCATGACAAATGCGCTATGCCACTGGTGTTACGTTTAAGAAACACATCAATTATCATTCGACACTCTTTGTTAATCAATTACTGGACGACGGGCCTCCCCATGCTGTGTATGTCATGGGTATTGTTTCCCGATACTGTACTTCACCACGCTAGTCAGTGCGGGTTCGTGCAGTTTTAATGCATTCTGGGTAAAATACCCCACTGTGAATAAAAAAATGTGAATCATTCAAGCGTGGATTGGCTCTTTTGTGGAAACACTGCACACAAAGGAGGCAACTTATACGGAAACAACTTATAAATGTTATTTTTTTGTCAAGAGATTGGCATACCATATATGTCGTTACAGTTATAGACAAAACTCCAAATGGCAAGTTTAAATAACAACAGCTAGTCGAAGAGCAGGTTGAGTGTTGTGGGGTAAAGTGTTGATACGCCCTCCTCTTTCAAGATGTCTGGAGAGCCTAAAAGAGGAGGCCAAATACTTTCTGAATGGGCCTGAGAGCTTCCTCTAGCGGAGGTCCATCCACGAGCAGTAGCATCAGCAAATCATTGCAGGTCTGCACCCTTACCTTTAGCACAATATTAAGACAACATTTCTATAAAAAACATGTTTATATTTAAGTCAGAGTATTGAATAGAGTTGGTAAAACCTACACATTGATCTTCTTGGTTCTTTCGGTAAAGTCACGTAGAAGGGAAATAATAAAATAATAAAAATAAAACATAATAAAATAATTCTCACGACGTTTCGGCCACAACGCAAGCAGCCGTCCTCAGGTGAAGAACAGGTCTGTCAGAAAGACAGACATTCAGACACTGTCTTTCCGACAGACCTGTTCTTCACCTGAGGACGGCTGCTTGCGTTGTGGCCGAAACGTCGTGAGAATTATTTTATTATGTTTTATTTTTATTATTTTATTATTTCCCTTCTACGTGACTTTTCCAAAAGAACCAAGAAGATGAATCCCTGCAGTCACGAAAGCTTTAAATCGAAACCTACACATTGAATTAGAGCTTCAAATGGAGTTTTGGAAGGGCATCCAGCTCAGACAGCGGATAACAGATGGGCACACGTAACAATGGAGTGGAGCCTGTTGCGGTGAAAGCTAAAGACAGGCCGCCAGAAAATGAGATGACCGGACAAGATTAGAAGAATTGGAGGAGTCCACTGGATGGGAGGTGGCAAGAGAGAGTGAAGATAGACATAGGGAGAGGCCACAACCCGAAAGTGGTGGGATGTTAACAGCAAACAGAGAGAGAAGACAGTAAATTGATCAAAGTAATAAGTTAACAAAAACAAGATACTTGTATCTGCAATACGTATGACCCACGTCTATTGTTATCGGTGTAAATGTTGTATGACACAGCATCACAGGGGAAATGGCAGACCACCTCAAGACAGCTCGATTCAGGTCTATAGAGGTCCCGCAGTGGAGAGATGTTAACTACCTCGCCTGGTGTGCAGGAGGTCGTGGGTTTGATCCCGACCCTGACGACGCCTGCTATATACTTGAAGTTTGCGTCTCTCTCTCGTCATCATCATCACAGTGGCTAGATGTTAACTACCTCGCTTGGTGTGCAGGAGGTCGTGGGTTTGATCCCGACCCTGACGACGCCTGCTGTATATTTGGAGTTTGCGTCTCTCTCTCTCTCTCATCATCATCATCACGGTGGCTAGGAGATGTTAACTACCTCGCCTGGTATGCAGGAGGTCGTGGGTTCGATCCCAACCCTGACACCTGTATATTTGAAGATTGCGTGTTCTCCCCGTGGTCGCGTGGATTTTTCTCTGGGTCCTCCAGTTTCCCCCTCCACATTTAGAAACGTGCGTTTAGAGTATTTGGCTGCTATAAATTTGCACATGATAAGCCACTTCGATAAGCATTCATTTGTGGCCAAGTCCCTTTTGAAAAAGAGCTATATAGCTCAGTGGGCCTCTTATTGTAAAATAAAAAATAGTCTAGTTTCTGATAGGGATGGGAGTGTACCAATAATAACAGGGCACTGTTCAAAGCAACACAACACAATGCGTCACTGTCAAAATGATTGAGGCAATGTCCCATAGTAGCTTTGTTCTACAGCCTTCATATTCTTTAGTTGCTTTATAATGTTACCATCGCACGAGCTCACCGTTTCCTGCTTCTGCTCTATGCTCAGCGCCATTATTTTCTCGCACTACCATTTTTGGTTCTCGTTTTTTTCTCATTTCCTTTCAATCTTTTCTTTGCGTGTCCTCAGAACCAGGCTCTAAGATGTCAGCTGACGGCATTGTACTTCACAGAATCTGTTTGTTTTCAAAAGTCCGAGTAAAAAAAAATGCGCGCTTGGCACAATTGTACACAGCTGCAGATTCCACTTTTTGTTTTACATGGGCATTTCTTTGAGTTTCCCTTTCGCAAAATAAAGCTTTTTTTCTTAAATAGCACGCAAATTAAACCTCGAAAATATTGCACGATGTTTTACGGCTGTGTTCCCACACCGCATAACTTTCTAAGAACATGGTCTTGTATGGTTCCGTTGTTACAATTATCTTTAACCAATTATACATCCATGCGCGTACACATTTCAAATGATCTTGATCATCAAAACATTGTCCATGTGATGCAGATGTTGGTAGAATATAAGTAATCACAAACCACTCTTATGTGTTCTGTATAATGCTAGTGTGATGCATGTCACTATATTTACGCTCAAGAGCTTGCTTTCAAGTGAGGTAATCATTCTTTATAAACTTGACAGCACAGCAGTGGTAAGCGAAAACTGTATGCAAATGACATAGCTTAACTGTCATAGAGTGCTTTTAATGGTTAAATATTTGACTGATGCGACTGGAAAATATGAAAACTAATGGATAAATAAATGAAGAAATTCTGGGCGACAAAATTGCGTTTCCAAAGTGCTTCTTTATAATGGAGAATTTATGTAAATCATGAATGAAATACACAGGCCACCGCTGTGCTATGTTTCATCGGGCCCACACACACACACACGCAAGAATGTGCCTTCAAACGGGTGCAAGATATTCACACAGGCCTGACACGGTGTGTCTTCCACATCAATCAATTGTCACTTGTCCTCAAGAGTTTGTGTAAAATGTACACAAAGTAATCAGTCCACGCGAAGAGGGCAGTCGCATGAACCGGTGAGATACCAGTCGAGCTCTGGTCACGTAATCTGCAGTTAAGGTTCTTCTGAAAAATGTTGCTACCACGTGTTAGATATTGCACAATAACAAATGGTTATCTTTGGTCATCTAGTTATGCTAACCACTCACCAGACACTCACCACCAACCTAATACCTGAGATTCACCACACACTCGCATAACACTCACTCTCCACACACTGACAACTCCCACTCACCAGTTGCTGACCACTCACATCACACCACTCATGTGACACCACTCACGTGACACCACTTACCAGACACCGACACTCACTACCCACAGTGCACCACACACTCAATGATGACGGACTGACACATTACAAAAAGTACTCAACTGGCACTGCTGAGATCCTGGGTTCAAATCTGGGTTTTAACTGCCTGTGATTAAATTAGGTCCTCAAGCGCAGCGAGTTAATGGATTTAAGCCTAGTCACCAAAGACCTTATAACAAATGTCGTAATATGAAATATGGGTATTCATATATTTTGCGAACATTTCAGCTTTGAGAATAAATACCAAAGATATGTACTTGTGGGGCTTTGCTCCGACATTGGCGCTGGCTGCCCTGCCCATGCCGTTTACACCGCACGGCTTTGCTCACTCTGAAAGCCCCGAGAAGCAGTCGCATTTGGAGGCGTGCCCCCTATTTTCTCTCTGCCTGATGAAGGCCGCTTGTGTTGTGATCGAAACGTCGTGGTTTTTTACTTAAATTTTTTATTTTAATTTATTTGTATTTTCTATCTACGTGACTTTACCGAAAGAACCAAGAATATGAACTCCTGAAGTCACGAAAGTTTTAAGTTTGAAAAAATGTAGGTTTTATCACCATGTGATGAACATCTCTACAACACACGTAGAAAAGTCCAGTGCCTCCATTGCGGACAGGAGGTCACTTGATGGAATTTCAGAAGTGCTGTGGTTTTGCGATATCACCAATGCCGTTCTCTCACGGGGGGTTGGGGGGGGGGGTTGGTTTTGCACCTTGCTCTAGGAGAGTTCCAAATGTATGCTTAGTCTCATGATCAGAAACTGACATCACAAGTTAGAATGAATTGGGGTAATAAGGCATAAAAACCAATGTAAACAGGTGGTATGCCAGTGTGAAGTATATACACACATTTAATGGTTTTATTTTGGATTGAAATTCGCTGCAGGAGTACGGTGCTTATTTATCTTGTTACGTGAGGTTACAGTTAGTTGTGCCTCCCCCTTCCACAGACGATTGCGGTCATGTGGTCCTTACACAGTGGTCTTCTCGTGTGTTAAGTCTACATTCATGAGACACTCAACGAAACCTAATTCCAATTTCACGTGAAATGGTAAGCAGCACTGTACCACCAAGTTACGAGGATTCAATTCTCAACATCAATTCGTGGCTCCTGGCCAAGCAGCAACAGAGAAATGTCAACAAGACAAGTTCCATTTGCTCACTGGATTACGTTTCCTTCCTCCACATGCAGCGTTTAACTTCGTGAACTTATACTTCAACAATATAAAACTACAATCATTACATCAGTGTTTCATTAACTAAAGAAACCAACTCAGATTTCACAACGGCACTTTCTCTGCAAATAAGGAATTAGTTATTATTCTTTGACCTTTGTCAATCCACTGCTGGATGACGGCCACCCCACACCGCTTTGGTCGTGAGGGTTTTTTGACCATACTTCACCACACCGATGTCAGCCATGGTCAGGAAACAAACCCAGGTCACGATTTTTTACAGCAAAGTGTGTCAAGCACTGCACCACCGCTCTCGACCCATTCATTTGTATACATTACTTTTATGAAACGTGGAGACACTGTCATGCAGCACGATAGGTAAATGAAGCGTAAGAGCAGAACACGCCTGTGCATGTTACCTGCTTTAAGAAACACAAGATAATTCGGAGAATTGATGAATGGGGTGATACTAGGTTTGGAAACATCCACAAGGCACGGGACTTGGGATGGGAACAGCGTTCTTTCCAGCATTACTCATGAAAGAAAGGTGCTCGTAAGGCTTTTAAAAGCAGCACAGGGAAACCAGAAGTCGATTGTCCACAAGCCCTTGAACCGTGCACTCCAGAAGTGGAGTTGTTCACTGGGCAATGTTGGAAGGTTACCCGGCCGCTCCGACCACCCTTCACCCTCGCACGACCAAGACGTCCCTCCGCAGAGAGAGCGGCAAGGCACGTGCCCCCCCCTTTCCCTCCACCCCCCCGCACCCCCAACCTGCATCTCACCTCCACGATGCTCTTCAGGTGCCTGACGTACATACGCTCCGTCTCCAAGATCTCCAGCACCACGCGGTCCACGTATGACAGCTTTGGGTTGGCCGACGTGAGCACCTTGGCGGCGATGGGAGACGTCCCCGAATCACGCACGTCGCTCCGCTCTGCGGCGCCCGCGCGCCGGTGGCTGACCCGTCGCGGCGTGAGCCACTCGGCTCCGGCGGCCGCGCCATCACCGCCGCCGCCGCCGCCGCCAGGAACCCGGCCCACCGGCGACTTTGGGCCACCGTTGCTGGAAGGCATTTTGACACCATCCTGGTCGGAGGAGGAGGGCCGGGCGACGGGGGAGTTCGTGGTCGTCCGTGGGTTGGTCCGCCTACCGCCGCCGCCGCCACCCGGGTTATTACGGGACAGCATGCTCTCCCGCGCCGGTCAAACCATCACGTCCACGTGCCGACCATGTGACCCTGCCGATGTGTGAAAGGACATGACGGAGAGGGGGCGGGGAATGGAAAAAGATAAATTGTCATGTAAAAGCAACACCGTTGTTTGCACACAAGACTCCTTACTGCTTGTTGATAGAAATAAGTTTTTAAATGTGATCAGTCGTTAAATGCTAAACACAATCGGTGGCATCATATGTATGATTAGATATCGTGCACAAAAGTGTGGGACCTTCCTGAAAAAGCTTAGGAGACTTTCGTTTATTTTTTCCCTCTCTGAATAAATAACGACATTATTTTAGGAAAGCATATTTGTCATCGCGCAATTCTCACAACCCAGGTTATCACGAGTGTGCGATGTCTGTGCCTTTATTACAGTGTACACACATCGCAGCAGATCCACGGGTGCACAATCTCAATATTTTCACAACAAACGCTTGTTGTTTCTTATCAAACGGCCTTGTGAAAAAACGACAGCAAGCAAAAAAAACCCAGGCCGTCATTGTAGAAAACAAAGCAGCAGCAACCACAACAATGACGCTATACAGGCATCTGTGAATAAACACACACAAACAAACAGAATGCCAAGGCGGGTGCAGCTTTTGACAATAAGGTTGTCTCAAGAAGTATTCCCATAAATCACTGCCTCCTGCCCTCATACATTTCCCCGCTGTTAATGGCAGGCATGTCGAAACACACACACACACGAAGGCAGATTCAAACCGACTCTTTAAATTAAATTGCCGGTACGTGTAAATACAGGCAGTAAACGTAAACTTGCTAACGTGTGCAAAAATACAGGCCGTTGCTGTGGCAACGTAAGCATCATTAAACTTAACCTTTGTAGCACACGTTGGTCACACCTATTGGTAAACCTCTCCGCTAAGTGCCTTGTCAAACATGTCCTGGCGCCATTGTTGATGCCAACCTCACGCTCTCCACCGAACGTGTGATAGCAGGGCCTAGAGTTGAACTTGCATGAAACGGGAACGACAGTCATGTTAAGACTGTTACAAAAATCCACAGGTAGAATTTACAGCCCTTTTGCCAATCCACTACTGGATAAAGCCCCCCCCCCCCCATGCCGTGTTTAGTCATGTTGGGTTTGTTTTTACTAAACTTAGCCATGCCAGTCCGTGTGGGTTTGTGGAGGTGGACACAAGATCGGAACGGATATCATTCGCCACTGACGTTCGCCACGGTCAGGTATCGAACTTGGGTCATGGTACCCAACTAAATACCCTACCTACCGACCCACCATCCAATCTCACATTAGAGGTTAAGTATAACAGTTGAGTGGGTAATGATACTAAAAGATTACACAACCATCTCTAACACGGTGATCACCCTCCAGAATGCTAACCACTGTGTCACTCTTCCTCCCAAGAGAGAGTTCTGTAGTATGATTATTAAACATGGATCAATTAACTCTTCCCACATCACCCCTCACCAGCTTCCCCAATGAAATCAAAGATTATATTCAAGAAGAATCGATTTGTGTTTGTCTCGTTTTATCATCTCGTTAGTATGGTTTGTAATTTCTTGAGTCTTCATTTGCCCAGATTTAGTTTGCTCCATTGGCATTGCATTAACTTAAAAACAAACATCATAAACAGGGCAATGCATTCTCACGTACCGAATGCAACGTATGTTATATATCTTGAATGTGGTTGGCATTTGGACGCTATATACTTAATACTGTACATTCAAATTGTAATGTATAAGCGGCGATGTTCACTTTTTACATCCTTAGCCACCCGGTGATTACACAAACAGATAACAAAACATGAAAAGACGGTGCCACATACCAAACAATACGTGGCGCGTGTTTGGGACAAGGTAGTATTATGAACCACACATTTTTCGTTCCTTGAAAGATCCCACACGATAGATAACAAAAGAGAAGACATTCTTTGCATATTTTAGATTTCTGTACGACACAAGTCACGCAAATTCACGCCTATCATCTCGAGACTCCGTCCGAGGCTATTTTTGTTAAGCTCCCGCCTGACCGGCCAGAGGGGGGCATTGATTTCGCAATCGAACAAAGACGTCAGAGCTCGACATGACAGGCCGGACCCGGGTCAAAACGGCTGTTTCACAAGAGGCTTTGTACTCAGCAGGATGAAGGGGGGAGGGGGTCTCTCTGCACACCTCTCTCAACCTTCGTGGAACCCGGGCGCGTATATATATATTTTAAATCGTGTTCGCTCTCTGCCAGCGCCGACCAACCAATCGTGCCCACAGATCTCTGACCTTTGCAGTGCTCCAGCATCTGCCCGCAGTCACGGCAGGCTTGGCCGCCTTTTCAAAGCGTCGCCCCACGCTGACACGGTCAAGAACCATTTCCCCACAATCTCGCCTTCAAAGGGCACCTCGCGAAAAATAAATGTTGCCCACATATAGAATGCTAGGGACGCTGCCTGTAGTGTGATGGTTAGCACGCCGGACCTGCAAATCCAGAGGTCGCCGGTTCTATTCCATCTCTCCGACATGACCGTTTCAAAAGATGGGCACACGCTTTTGGTTTTTTAAGCCCCCCCCTTTCCCCCCGCCTGTTTCCGCACAGCGGTACGAGTTACACGACAGTTCGTCGATGGGCATGTGACGTGTGGTGGGGTAAATTGTGGGTGTTGCCAACCCTTTCGATATGTCTGGCCATCGTGGAAGAAGAGGTCAAATACCCTCAAGAGGGCCTTTCTAGAGCTCCCTCGAATGGAAGCGCTTCAGTTAGCAGTGGCGCGATGAAGCAATTGCGGGGCTGTACCTTAACCTTTACAGTATGTTGCCTACACAAGCTGCTATGGGGGGGGGGGGGGGGGCTAATGTTGTGAGCAGCAGAGGGTAGTACAGTAGAATAAAATTGTACTCTGCTATCCTCCCATGTATTTTTACCTCTGCTTCACCATCCGGCATGAATCTGCCCGAGCCAACTTGCGCTACAGGGAATTTATTATTGAACAATGATTTACATTTGTAGCAACATTTTCAATTTCTTACACGACACAGTTGTTTTAGATCAAATTGCGAGTTGCTTTGTTGATGCGCCTCATTTGTTTTGCTTTTCTCATTTTTGTGACCCAGGTGACTGGCAAATGAGACTCACCTGGTCTGTTGAGTTCTCACCTGGCTAAAGAAAATATACTTGGTCTGACGAGCGTGGCAAAGTAGGGTTAAATATCCTCGACAGTGAGACACCTCATCGAGCAGTGGAGTGACGAAAGCGATGTTTGTACTCAATACACGTAAATTATGAAACTGCACAGAGTCCTGTATACAGTTAGATATTTGAGCTGGCTGTTTGAAACTGAAAGCCAGTGTGTTAGCTCACTGTGAAATGTACACTTGACTTTAAGTGAGCATGGCCTACACATGACAGAGCACTGAGAGTAATTCTCTGCTCATGTAGTTCAATAGGCTGCAGTAAACATCTGTTAAGCTCCATGGCATGGCAACATAACACTGCAAAAAACGTAATTACCTGTGGTGGAGACGGACGGATAATTATCTGCTTTTGATTATTATTTATTTCCCAAATCACAGGCCCAAATGCCAAGGCGCCAACAGCACCATTCAAAGTTGTAATATGGTAAACAAGAGTTGAAATATTAATTAGTGGAGGAACTATTACCAAGACAATTCATTTTACCTTGAGCAAACATTTGCACCGAAATCCCCAACAAATAAAACTGTGCGTCATAATGGCAGAAGAATGAAATGTGGGAGCACCACATTAACTGGCCTGAACGTTGTACGACTGAAACCAGGGAACGACAAAATAACATGCAAGTAAGTAAGAACATTTGTTATTGCGCACTCGTATGAGTCCAGTCCATCACATATGTGCATGTGTACTAAACATGCCATATCTGAGAAATCCCTCCATCAAGGTGGTTCATGCGTGCATTCTAAAGCTGCCAGGGTGCCTTTCCTGTGCCAAGAGAAGCCTTTGGCCAGCAACAATCGTCGGGTCACCTTCCATCCCAGCATTTTATGCGCTGCCACATTCCAGTGCAGGACTTCATATGAAGTGAATTAAAAACGAAAACTAGGACATGCCGAAAAGGTTGGCCATCCCTACTATAATGTCACCTTCAGGGATGATGACATTAATGTATATTGGAGTTGGGAGATTGATGCAGGAATCAGATTCAGTTTATAGAATTCCACCGTAGATGATATTTGCAGGAATAACAAACATTCTATGAATGATTCCCATGTAAAAATAAACAATCCAATCAATGGGAATTTCAAAGGGATTGTGTAATGGCAGATGCGTGCAATGCAATGGGATTCTATTGCAATTCTATTGGGAATCTTACGTTGTGAAGTTTCGCTCAGAGCATCGTTACAACTGGAGCTCCACTGTAACGTTATGCTCCGGGGCACAGCAGTGGCAAGATGTTGACTACCTCGCCTGGTATACAGGAGCTTGTGGCTTTGATCCAGACCCTGATGCTTGTTGTATATTTGTAGTTTACGTGTTCTCCCCCATGATCGTGTGGATTTTTCACCGGATCCTCCGGGTTTTCCATCCACATTTAGAATCAACACGCGTTCAGAGTATTTGGCTGCTATAAATTACCACGTGATAAGCCACTTCGTCGAGCTATCATGTGGCCAAGTCACTTCTGAAAAAATTAACCCGTAAAAACAAAGTTTTTCACTATAAATCCTTTATATGCGTAGCGGCTAGAATCCTCTCGTCCTCTGGCTTGAGATGGCTGCTACCTATTGGTCAGATGATTGCATGGCAGCATTAAGCAATTGGTAATTAAATATAATTGTTTTTTTCCTAAAAAGTGTAAAATTTTGGAGAAATTTTTTTTCACGAAAATAAATTGTCACGCACAACGAGTCTGTGTGCAAAATGTCAGCTCGATTGGATCACGGGAATTGGGTTAAAAAACGACCGAAAGATTTGCACGGTCATAAGCGCGCAAGCAAGCAAGTGAACTTAATATAAAGGATTTAAAAACGAGCTAAATAGCTCGGTGAGCCTTACTTCGTAAAAAATATATATG